TTGGTAGCTCCTCAAGAAAATGGGAATCAGTCTACCACAAGATCCAGCAATTCCACTCTTAGGCATATACCCAAAAGAAGCACATTCATACAACAAAGACATCTGTTCACCGATGTTCATAGCAGCATTATCTGTAATAGCCAGAAACTGGAAGCAGCCTAGATGTCCCTCAACTGAAGAATGGATAGAGAAATTGTGGTACATTTACACACTGGAGTACTACTCAGCAGGAAAAAAACAATGGAATACTGAAATTCTCAGGCAAATGGATGGAACTTGAAGAAACCATTCTGCATTCTGATCGAGGTAACCCAATCACAAAAAGACAAACATGATATGTACTCACTCATATGTGGATTTTAGACACAGAGTAAGGGATTACCAGACTACAATCCACACTGCCAGAGTAACTAGTAAACAAGGAGGACCCTAAAAGAGACAAACTTTGTCCCATGGAGAAGGGGAAAGGGTCACTATCCCCCGAGCAAATTGAGAGCATGGGAAGAGTGGGGTGGGAGCTACAAGAATGAGAAGGGAAGAAAAGGAAAATGCAGAGGTCAAGACAGAAGAAGAAAGGATGAGTTAGGTGTAGATTAGAAGAAAGGATATGTGATAGGTAGGGTTTTAGTTGGGGGGTGGTAGGGGAGGAAGGGAGGGAGAAGGGAACTGGGATTGTCATGTAATTCAATCTTGTTTGTAATTCAAACAAAAAAGTCAAAAAAAAAATGAAATTTGTGTTCTTTGAAGTATATTTAGCATCCAGAAATGAAAAGGAGTTAAAATTCCTAAAACTCGATAAAAGAATATGGCAAATACTCAAGAATTATATTTCACACAGCAAATTACATTCAATTTCAACTTAAAAACTATTCCATTATTTTTAAGTTACAACCCTACAAAGGTCCCTTTTAACTATGTTAACTGAAAGAGCAAAGTCAGCAGTGCTGACTAGGACAAGCTGTACCTGCTAGCGTTACTCGTGGACGTGTATGCATTACTGGACGTGGCTGCAGAACTGAACACACTGTCTAACTCTGCCAGTGCTGCATACTTGTCTGAAGATGCACTTGAGTGACTGGGAACTGAAACCACAGAACCAACAGGAGCTTTACCTGTGGTCCCAAAACCACTCCCTTGATCACCTCCTAGAGGCAAACAAACAAAGAAGTTACACCAAAACTTTAATATTATATTGTTAGTTCATCAACTATATTTGCCATGAAACACAGGTAAACCCAACACTGACTTCATCCAAACATTAAGTGGACAGGAATAATAGAACTCTAAGATAGATGGTTTTGTTCAAATGAACACATAAATTTATATGATGGACATAAGGAGGGATTTATATATATATATATATTTAATATAGTTTATTATATTAAATAATTAAATTATAATATAATTTAATATAATCTATTAAAAGTGCCATTCTTGCAAGGTTTTCCATGGGAAAAAAAAAAAAAAAGCAGAGATAATTCTAACAGTAAACATTATACTGAGAGCTTCCTGTGCTAGGCAGTGCTCTAAATGCCTTACATGGAGTAATTCACAAAATGGAAGTCCAAGAATTCAAGAATTCAATTCTATGATCTCTCACTTTAGAGATGATAAAAACAATGCTAGGGATCAAGATGCAGAATGCAGTGTAGGACACATCCCCTCTGTTCTCCACTGAGCTATACACTGTTACAGGGGAGCTACTGGTCTAAAGGGCAAAACTTACTACAAAAATATATTAGAAAAATAATGGGCAGACTCTTAAGTTCAAGGCCAGCCTAGTCTACAGTGAGTTCCACGACAGCCAGTGCTACACAGAAAAACCCTGTCTCAAAGAAAAAAAAAAAAAGGGGGGGGGGGCTTGTTAAAATGCCAAAATGTTAATAAAAATAGTTCAAAAAGCATATATGATTGAAATTACAAAATAACACTATAAACAGCTCAGTAAATGAAAATTTTTGGTCCTTTGTAGCCATAGAACCGCGTAAAATAAGACAAAAATATAATTTTCAATTACTTTCTTTTGAAAATCATTGTTTATAAATTAACTTCTACATCTTCAAAATTATAGCTGATATTTTACATGCAAAAATGCCAACGACCCTTTACTCAAAACATTTGTTATGGACATAACTTGTATACAAGTGAGAAAAGCATTGTCTCCTCAGATGTTAACACATGTAATTTAGACAAATTAGTATCAGTTTTGTTTACATGTTGATACCTTGCCCAGCACTGAAGATATTGTCTAAATTAGCAAGTGCCGCATATTTGTCTGCTGTCTGTAAACCAGCTTTGTTTGTTGAAACTTTACTAACAGTTGATGTTGTCTGGTGACTCTGGGATGTACTGAAGGTTCCAAAATCAGCACTGGAGGATTTGGGGAAGTTATCAAAATGAGCAAAATTAGCATTTACTGATCCAGCACTTCCACCTGCAACAAAATAAACAAAACATGAAATTTTCTAGGCTTCTCCCAATCTCACTGATAGATTATTTGTGATCATTCCTGCCTAAGTATACCCATGTGACTTTTATCAATTATGAAACTCAATTTTCTAAGGCCCTGATAGTATCTACCCTGAAATAAACAACAAAACTTGTTTGTGGAGGTGGAGGTGTCATGGTAACATTGGAATGACATTACTTCTAGCTATATAGTATGGTATCATGTTACAGCTCTTCAACAGACTCAATTACTCAATGTCTAAGAATCTGCTGGTTTTTTGAAGTTTTTAAAATCCAGGACTTCTTCACTTGAAGAACCATTACTTAACTCTACACAGCAAATCCAATGTGTATTCAACAGCCTGATGCTCCATAGTAGTTCAAGACATAAAAGTTAAAGTACATGACAGTCATTTTTGGCATCTTAAAGCACAGTTCATCACCAGTCAATAGCATGCTGCCTGCTCAATCTGTAAAGTCCTTTCTCAGCCCTAGAGACTCTTCTGAGGACTCCCAGGGACTACAGCCAGTGCCTTCCTCTCTGCTTTGAATCCTACACGGGTACTAGCTCTTTTCTCCTAAACTGTCAAGACAGTATCAAACATACAAGCAGGACTGATCATCACCCATGCAAAAGACCTGCATCAATCAGTTCTTCAACACTATAGACCAAATACAAACTGATCTTTTTCAAGAATTTAACTTTGGCTGTTTCAAAGAAAATTGGGCATGGTGACACATGCCTATAATCTAACTTACTCAGGAGGCTAAGGCAGGAGGATTGCCAGTTCAACGTGAACCTGGTCAGCACAGCAAGTCTCCATTTAAAAAATTAGGTTTTAAAGAAAAATCAGCTAAAACTAGCCATAGGTATGTTAAAAGACAACGATCTATTATGAGTAGCAAGCAAACAAAATACTAAATTTTTAAGAATTTTATAAAAAATTTTATTTCAAATTATTAGATCAACTTTTCATTAAAAACTATCTTTAACTGAGTTTAATAAGAAAGTAAAACTAATTTATGAAGGCTTATCATCAAAAATGATGATGATCTACAACTACAAAAACATGAAGTAACACAAAAAAGTACATAACTTAATAAAAGATGCCTATGGGACAACAGAACTTACTGTGGGTAGCCTGGAGAGGAAAAGCTGAAGTAAATTCACCAAAACTGCAGCTAGATGAAAGTACTCTAAATGCTGGACAGCCAGAAATAATGTAAATGATCAAAGTTAAAGGAGGAGGGGCAGAAAAGAAAATGGAAAGAAAAGGCTTTAAGACAACACATACAGAGTTAAAAGTTGAAAAAAAAAAAAAATAGTCAGCCAAAAAGCTAAATAAGGGTTCAATGAATTTCTGAAAATAATACACTTTAAGAAAGAATTTTCTTGAAAACCAATTCCTGCACAAAATTATTTCAATATTTGATTACATTGATAATTAATAATTTATACCTGACTAACATTAAAATGTTTTATTTAAGCTTGCTGCCCTATAAAACAACTTATTTCCATTTATATGGAAGCTACCATCTAGCTTCCTTATCGAAAGATACAACATCAGCCTTAATCATTGTGTTTCACGTACTTAAAAACTTCTGTTGCATTACAACCTCCGTGGATGGGAATTTTAAGGCAGAACCATGTGCAGGAAGAGGAGGATGGGTGCTGGACAGCAGACAATGATCAAAGAATTCAGAGAAACAAAGATTTCAGGTTTCCCCAGAGCTTTGTAAAATAGAACTACTTTAATATTAGGTCATTAGAGAATTTAGTTTTTCAAAACTACATTTGGAAAGTTTTGTTTTTTTAAAGCAAACATTTAAGCACAATGCTGGAGAAGCTCTACCTGTAGTTTGGGGCTGAAAAGGAGAGTGACTTGCTGTGGGGAAACCTCCAAAATTACTCGAACCACTAGACTGTCCAAATGCATCAAAGTTTGCAAAATCTGCATTTGCAGAATTCTGAGCTGTAAATGGCAAGGACAACACATGTTAATGAATATGAAAACTACAACTGAAAAGACATGACAAATGAATTTAAGAATTTTATGAAAATGCCAATGCAATATAATTCACTTTAAAGAGCATTAAGTTTAAAACAATCACATCTTTTTAAACCAATTAGTACTATATATTAAATAATAACCAGAAATTTCCAAAAGTGCTTTGTAAAGTCACAGATCTGTTCACAATGCCCTTAGTTACAGTACTATTTTAAAAAGACTCTAGTAACAAAAGAAAGCTATTTCAGAACATTAAGTACATTCTAGGAAATCCATTTTAATTTCTTATTGTATGTATTTGTGTGTACATGAACAGAATATAGAGGCTGACTTCAGGTGTCTTCCCAAGTCGCTGGGCTCCATACCCAGTTTTTGTGGGTGTGTGCTGAGACTCTTAAATTGACGTCATTATGCTTACACAGCAAACATTTTACTCAGCCACTTTCCCAGCCCAGTAACTTATTTTAAAATGATAATGAGATTGGTAAATCTGGAAAATAATTTAAATACCTAAAATAATGATACAGAGATGGTTTAATCACATTAATAATTTATTTTTGTTTTGCTTTTGTTTTTTAGTTTTGAGAAAAAGGGCCTTTCCTATGTAACTTGAGCTGGCCTCATGATCTCCTGCCTCAGTTACCCAAGTGCTGGAATTACAGATGTGTACTATCATGCCCAGCTGTCTGGTTTATCTAACGTTCATAAATATGTCCACCATCAGCACATAAAAGTGGGGAAAATCTATACGGACACAATCACCAAAAAGCTAAACATACTGTAAAAGTCAGCAATTATTAACACAAACCTCAGATCAAAGTTCTAGTTCTAGATAACAAAAAGCATTTTGAAAATGGAGATAAAACCGTAATAAATTCATAGGGGCTGGAAGATGGCTCAGTAGTTAACATTTGTTACACTTGCAAAGATCCAGGTTCAACTTCCAGCAACCACTTAGTGGTTCACAACTGTCTGTAACTCCTCTTCTAGAGGACTCCACACCTTCTTCTGGCCCCCACAAGGACTATATACTTGGTACACAAACATACATGTAAACAAAATACCAATACACATAGATGAAAGGTAAATCGTGTGTGTGTGTGTGTGTGTGTGTGTGTGTGTGTGTGTGTATTAGGAAGCAAGAGTTTGGTCCCTTGTTTGGTCAAGGGGCATTTTGCTACATAGGTTACTTTAAAGGGAAGAGGAAAGAGTCTCCTTATTTGGGAAATTTTGGTATATAGGTTAACATAGGAAAAGGAAATCCAGCATACATTTCAACAACTGAAACTTCAGATTTCTAACCCTTCTCAAGATCTCAATATGTAGCCTTAGCTGGCCAGGAACTTGCTATGTAGATCAGGCTAGCCTTAAACTCAAGAGACCCAACCGCTCTATCTTCCTTTAAAAAGCAAAGTGGGGCCAGAGACACAGCTCAGTGGATAAGAGCACGTGATAGTCTCGCAGAGGACCCAGGTTCAATTTTATTATGCACATGGTGACCTATAACCATTTGGAACCCCAGGTTCAGGGAACCCACTACCCTCTTCTGACCTCCATATCCAGACACACACGAGGCATACATTCATACATGCAACAAGACACAAAATACACATCAAATAAAATAAATAAATCTTCCAGAGTTTTTAAACTTATGTGTCTCTTAAGCCCTACCCTAGCTACATTACCCCAACATACACACAAAGCCTCTAAAGTACCTAGCAGTCCCCATGCCAGAAAAGCAGCAGACACATCCTCAACCGATAGTCTCCAGATCCAACCACTAACTTACAAGCAACATAGGACAATCTTTTAAAGGTACCACAGGAGGACAATTAACAAGTTCCTTCTTTCTCTAACAAATCACAAGAAAAAGGGATGAAGGGTCAACCTACAGAAACCTAACCAAAATTGATTTCCATTACAAAGGATACATTTTTTAAAAAACCTGATTCCAACAAACCACTTACACACTATGTGTGAGAGTAAGTGTATGTGTTTACACATATACATAACACAAACTATATATACAAACACCAATTTGAACTGGAATGAAAATTTGAATGCTGACTAATGAACTTTTACCATTATTTAGAATGATTCTATTCCTTCTGTGATACTTAACAATGAAAAGTCCAGAGTCTGGGCAATGTCTCTCATATGGCAAAGTAGCTACTACAAAAGCATGAGAATCTGAACTCAGATCCCCTCCACAATTATAAAACATCAGGGTTCAATAATATGTATCTGTAACTCCAGTGTTTGGGGGTAGATCTCTAGGGAGGCAGATTCCTGGAGCTAGTATAGCCAATTGGTTAACTTCAAGTTCAGTGAGACTGAAGAAGACAACTGACACTGACCCAGAGGGTACATGCAGATATGCATGAACATACAAAAACACACGGGAACACACACATATTAAAGAATCTTCTATGTTTTTTTTCATGGAAAGAAGTCACATTTTATCACATATCATCTCTTCTGTGACACTTTGGTACTTTTTAATAGAAGGCCAGGCAGTGGTGGCACACAGCTTTTTCTTTTTTTAAAGATTGATTGATTGATTGATTGATTGATTTGTTACGTACACAATGTTCTGTCTGCATGTATGCCTGCAGGCCAGAATATTTATTTATTTATTTATTTGTTACGTACACAATGTTCTGTCTGCATGTATGCCTGCAGGCCAGAAGAGGACACCAGATCTCATTATAGATGGTTATGAGCCACCATGTGGTTGCTGGGAATTGAACTCAGGACCTCTGGAAGTGTAGCCAGTGCTCTTAACCGCTGAGCCATCTCTCCAGCCCAAGGCACACAGCTTTAATACAAGTTCTTTCTGAAGCCAGTCTGGTCTACAAAATGAGTTTCAGGACAGCTAAGGCTACACAGAGAAACACTGTCTCAAAAAAGAGGTGTGTGTGTGTGGGGGGGGGTAATTTCAGCACTCAGGAGGTGGAGTGGGACCATAAGGAGTTCTCAGCCATCCTTAGCGTAGAGCAAGTTCAAGGCCAGCTTGAACTACATATGACCCTGTCTAAAAAGGTCCCCTAAAAGTTCTATGGTTATATATGTCTATAGGGGTAAACAAAATTCCTCAGTAGACTATGCTCACTGATACTTTATAATAAACAATTAATGATTTACACATACCCTGGGCAAAGTTATCAGGAAAAGCCTTACCTGCATGACTGTTAAAATGTGCAAAGTTAGCAAAATTGGCTGTAGCTGTTGACTGAGGAGCTGGAGCAGCAAAGATGTCTGAGCCAAGATCACTCAAAAGGTCAAACTGCTTCTTCTCCTGCTGCTGCCCTTGAGAGCGACCTACAACTGGGGACTACAAGCACATTACTTACTCATGGTGTTTCTAAAATACATACACATCAATGCATTAACTATAAAGACTTCTCAATCAGATATGCTTATGTTTTATATAACAGCTATCTCCAATTCACCATATTAAAAAAGCATTTCTACACAAGAATTACAGTATCTTGACTTCACTCCATTCTTCATTTTCCACTTTAAGTCTTGTGAAAACAGAAGCCTAGAATACACTGTCAAAGGGCAGGATTAAATCTGCACGACTTTGCTTCAAAACATTCATGTATAGTATATTGTAACAATGTTAAACAGTAACATTCCTAACATTATTCTCAACAAAATAAATATTTAGGTATCAGCATATAAATAATTTCAGTCTGTTCAGTTTGGGGAGTAAGAGACACTGCAGAGCTATTTGAATTTCAATGATGATAAGCAGCTACATAATCAGTTAATTAGAAATTCTACTATTTTCTGTTAAAGTACCACAGAGGCTATTCTTCTCTGACTCTGCTGGTCACCAGACTTGCACACTCAAGATGGACAAACTGAGCATCTTTACAAAATGATGGCAAAACCAACAAAACCACACATTCCTACCACATTATCAAACAATCTTCATGAATTGCATTACAAATGGCACAGATACAATGTTAAAGTTTCTTAGCACTCAATCTTCCCTACATGTTTAAGAGTTACCAACCCCTCACCTGACTAGGTGTGCCCTTATTTAAGTGCAGTGCTGGTGCAGAATCTCCCAGCAGAGATTTCAGGGGCTTGACCTCGGGGGTGCTGCTCGTGCTGCTGGCAGAAGACCCTGAAATAGATGCGTGAACTGATGCCACCACTTTGGCTTGCTCTGGTGGAACATACCTGCAATGTGAAATTAGAACAGACTGCTAAGAAAAATTTGAAGAATCATATTTAAAATATTAAATTTAAATTTTATATAACACTCTTACAATATCAATCTTACTAGAAAAGGTAGCACTTAGAACTGACAGCTTTGTACTATTATTACCTGAAATTACTCAAGGAAAAATAAAAATCAGTCACAAAACTTGTTTTAACTATTTACTCATTGCTTTCCTGCGATGATACACTATAGCAACTGCTATTTTGAAGACTTATACAATGAGTGGCTAACACTGTAAACTTTAAAGTGAGAAACTCTTAAGATCATAAACACCTGGAGATGAATGAAATGGTGAGGAAACACTTTATTATAATTTATGGCCCCAAATGCATAAATCATTAAAAACAAGACTTTACTTTAAAATTAACAAAGAAGTCATAAAAGAATATGAACTGACATCAAATAAAAATGCTCTGATCTATATGAACTATGAATTTTTAGTTGTTATCTAATGAAAAAACATATACAGGTATGCTCTATATCATATTACTCCTAGAAACCTGTCCTTAGCAAGTAACTAGATAACTATATATAGATACACTTAGATATTACTCTTGCAATTTTAATTTTAAAAAACTTGGAAACAAAGCTAACAAATACCTGTAAATAAAAAAATTATTTACAAACATTATGCTAAAATGTACATAAATCTGCAGTTACTCCCCTTCTTTGGCAGGTAAGGATGCCCAAGTGACTCAACAAGTTTTTCAGGTCTGATTCCTGCCTGTCACATAAATAGGACATGGGGGAGGGAATGAAGGAAGCAGAAAAAGAATGCAGGAATATAATGCCCAAATACCAGCAATGCTCATCTCTAGGGAAGGGATTACATGGCAACTCTGTAATTTTAGGTGTATTCCCATCTTCCTCCAATTCACCATATCAAGTTGGTGCGAAGAAATGAAGCTTTAAGGTAGCTAAAACCATTTCTCTCCTAGAGACAGTGGTCAATCCCCAGCTCCATCACTCAATAGCTGTGAAACTTTGGGCAAATTAACTTCAACTCCATGCTTCGATTTTTTTCACCTATAAAGTTGCTGTTGGAATTAAACAAATTCACATTTGTAGTATGGTTAGAATTAGTTACCAGTGTATTAGCTATTATCCAACCATTAACAATCACAAACAATTAAACTAACCCCATCAAGTAAATACAGGATATGAGGAGATCCGAGAATGAAGCAAACTCATGTTCTCAATAATCTGTCATTGCACTAATAACATGAATTCTTCGGTACGGCCAAATCTGACCACAAGATATGACAGATAATAGTTTATGGCTAAAATGATTTGCCGCCACTTAAAGTAAGCAAGAGTATCTAAATGAAAAGAACCATCTCAAAACTTTATCTGGAGCCGGGCAGTGGTGACGCACGCCTTTAGTCCCAGCCACTAGGGAGGAAGAGGCAGGCAGATCTCTGTGAGTTGGAGACCAGCCTGGTCTACAAGAGCTAGTTCCTGGACAGCCTCCAAAGATTCAGAGAAACCCTGTCTGGAAAAACCAAAAACCAAAAACCAAACAAACAAAAAACAAAACCTTTATCCAGCGTCATCCTGCTGCACTGAGTCCTACAACAAACGTTCTTAGAGACTGACTGCTTTCAGTGGCTGCTCAGACCTCAGTGTAAACCCACGTCACTGCTCTCTAATCGCATTAGGGAAGCACGAGGCAGGTGGTGTAGATCTTGGCTCTTGAGAATGACAGCCAACACTGCTCCATCCATCTTTTTTTTTTCTTTTGTTTAACAGCCCTGGCTGTCCTATCACTCTGTAGACCAAGCTGAACTCACAGAGATCCACCTGCCTCTGCCTCCTGAGTGCTGTGATTAAAGGTGTGCATCACCAACGCCACCCCAATCCATCACTTTTAGAAAGCTTGTATGTATACTATTCTTACTTATGACTACTGTGTTCCTTAGGAAAGGGGAAAAATCAACCCAAAATATTGTCTGAGACTTAAGGACTTTCAGATCATGGTTTGAAGGAGAAACTTGATGTTATGACTGCGGGAAAGGTACTGAGGACTTACCTATACAGCAGCATTCATACTCCTCCTTTCTCACATTCCTGCTTCTTTTTGCAGCTAGAGCTAACCTCACTAAAATCCCAGCTAGCTAACTCCTGAACGCAAACTGACTTTCTGAACTGTTGAAAATTAACACTGCTGCAAAAGGAAACAGCTATGATAGGGCTACTCAAGGAGAACAGTTCTATCTATAGGCTGGGAAACCTAGAAACTTAAGAATGATAAAAGGATGATGGCTCCTGTTTAAAAACAACAACAAAAAAATCACTTGTTTGATGGGGGAAGTACTTCCGTGTATGTTTATCTTATTGTTAAATAAAATACTGTTTGGCCAATGAGACAGCAAGTTAGAAGGGACTAGGAGTCAAAGAGGATTCTGGAAAATGTAGTAGAGAAGTGGTGATCCAGGCAGGAAGTGACATAGCAAGGAGACTCATATTTAGCAAGGAAACGGGAAGTGTTTGCCCTTTTCCCCTCCACTCCTGCTCCAGTGGCACAATGTGATCCACCGGCAAGGAGGGACGCCAATAAGGCATCCGATAAGATAAGTCTTATAAAATATCTAGATTTATGTTAGTTAACACTGAGCTAGCAGATGAGAAGTCCTAGTCATTGGCCAAGCAGCATTGTACCTAATACAAGTTTCTGTGTATTCATTTGGGCCTAACTTGGGAAGGCAGCTGGCAGAGACCGCCCGCGTGGCGGTAGGGCTCAGGCGGCTTTTGGTGGAAAGATTTATCATAACACTTGTTCTCTGTGACTTTGAGGCCAGGCTGGTCTACAGAGCTTGTTCCAGGACACTCAGGGCTGTTTCACAGAGAAATCCTGTCTCAAAAAACTAAAAACCATTTGTGCACTATATTTAGTTATCACCCTGGTGACCTTTAATATTTTCTTCTTTCTTGAACTAAAATTTCACTGCTATATGTCACCTATTCATACCTAATGCATCAAGGACATCTGAAGAGAGTCCTAGTTAATCTAAACTTGTAAAGCAATGTTAGAATATGGTCTGGACACAATGAGTAACTAGGAGCAAATATGCTTTCTGTTCATGGATATATCTGCTCCATAAACAACAGGAAACTCCCTCCTACCAACACTGCCTTTGACTACATGACTCCTTGGGTCAAAACTCTGTTCCTCAGGGAAACAAGAAGCTGTCGGTTTCCCAATTAGCCACTCCCTCTATCCTCACCTCTCTCACCTTAATTCCCCAAGAAGGAATATGTACTGTTCAGTACTGACTGCTATAAAAAGAGATCACTGTTAGTTACTCATTTTTGTCCTTAGTTATTTCATAAAGCTAAAGCTGAGGAGTCCCAAAAACTAAATACTAGGTCTACAGTTCTGTTAAAGGGACATGCTGGCTTTAGTGTAGTATAGAGGGAGTGAAAATGTTCCCGTATTACCCAACCAGCAAGTTAATTTGTTGGGTGGGAAAAAAAAAGACTTCCAGCAAGACACGACAGATTACTACTACACAAGAGATTTAACACAGTACCTGGAAGATACTACTCAAACACTTACTAAAGACATAAAGATTGGAAGGAAAGAAGCATTACAGGACTAAAACATCTAAGGAAATTAGGAGAGAACACTGGCTTTCCATGGCAGGAATCTTGACATGGTAATAAAAGGCTGTTTGCTGCTCGACATAGATGCTCGAAGATAACATACAAGCAAAAGTTTCTTGTGGTGATATCTTGCTTATACAGATAAAGCTGTCTGAAGGCCAGAGAATGGAGTTTGCCACTAGCTAACCATAGAGGTCTGGAGGTCTGTACAGACAAACAGGAAGTGAGGTTGCTGGGCGCAAACAGGATATAAGCAAAGAGAAACAGGAGCTCGCTGTCTTGTCTGCTGAGAAACGAAAGGTGTGGACGTGGTTTGCTCCTCTTTGATCTCTCAGCATTTTCCTCTATATATGACTCAGGGTTTTTATCTAGACCAATTAAGAACTCCATTTACATTTTGGCATCCAACATGAGGCACAAACCCACGACTATGGGATTAAGAGTCCCATGCTCTACCGACTGAGCTAGCTGAGCTGGATGTGCCAACTCTGGGAAGTCTCGAGGTCTGGGAGTATGTTCCTTAGTCTAAATAAAAGCTGAGTCAAACCACCGAATTCACCCTGGCACTGGGTGGAGGGGAGTAACAGGGAGACAAGCTTGGCCCACTTGACTGAGGGAGCCCACACAGCTGGCAGCTTTCTCAGAGTCAGACTGGGACCCTCATGGAGCGATTTGCCCCTGTCCTGCCATTAATGTTCTAGCCACATGGGCGCCAAATGTAAATAGAGAGGAAAATGCTGAGAGATCAGAGAGAAGGGGCAAGCCATCGCCACACCTACCTCCTCCGCGTCTCAGCAGACAAGAGGGAGAGTTCCTGTTTCTCCCTGCTTATACCCTGTTTCTGCCCAGCTACCTCACTTCTCTTATCTGTCTGTACAGCCTCCTATGGTTAGCTAGTGGCAAGCTCCATTCTCTGACCTTCAGGCAGGCTTTATTTGGACAAGCAAGATTATCACCACAGTTTCTGGAAACCAGATCTAATGAAAAGTCAAAAGGTAATGAGGCTGTACCCACCAATCATCATTTAATTCCTTCATTTCTGCCTGTCTACCTTAACTGTGTCAATCAAATCTCAACCACACTTGTGGTTTGGAAGGCTTTTAACTATTTACTCACCATCTCTTCTTTTCGTATTTCTCTTGTAGGAACTCTTTCACTTTTTGTGGATCCCTGAAGTCTGGAATTGCTGAAGATCTATCATCAAATAATCCTAGCCATATCTGTTTACAGACCTTTGGAAGGAATTAGGAAAAAAAAGTGTTAAATTCCATGTCTTTATTTAATAAAATTTAAGGGAAAACTTCAGTTCTTTTAGAAAGCTACTAAGAATGCTGCTCTTCATGACAGTGTATTCACTACAGTGATAAGTTCAGGAACTAAACTCACTTGCACATGCTGCAGGACTGAAATTTCAGCAACAGCTCAAGAACAGAACTTCCCAAGCAAACAAGTAGTGAATTGAGATTTGAGAGCACTGGGGTTCTTTGGGTCTCAGCGTGATCATGAGCCATAAAGCATAGCAGCCAAATAATCTGTGGGAACCTCAGTTCCTTTACCCATAAAACAGTAACTTCATCAACAGCAATTTTAGGGCCCTTTAGCAAGCTAAAAGCCAACCAAAGAGAACACACAAACGCCAAAATCATCAACAGTCTGTTGATAAAGTATAACAGTAATATAAATAAAAGCAGAACAATTCTAGCTTTTCTGAGCCAGATGAGAGTCTGAGACATTTAACTCTTTTGAAGAGAAATGAGTCAGAATTCAAATATAACACAAAACATAACTATAAAGAGAAAGATAAAAAAGTTGGTTTCATAAAAACATAAAACTCTTTCAAAACAACTTAAAGCAACAACAAAAAGCAGAATACTAATCAGCAAATAAAAGGAACAATGTGTTGGTACACAAACTTTAAGACAATTATGCTGGAAGACAGAAATGAAGCCAAACATGAAAGAGGACCAGCAATACAGGTAAAATCCCTGTGGCCAACCTAAGTCAATCCCTGAAACCCACTGTGGAAGGAGAGAAAACTCCCAAATGTCGTCCTCTGACCCCATATGCATGCCATGGCAGGCAGCAACATATGCACACATTAACAAATACTAATCTTCTAAAAAGACCTCCATTCTTTTGTGCAATTGAGAGTTACTTCTATGGAGTACTGTTCCTACCAATAAGGAAACAAGCATTTCTCAAATGTAGTCAGTAAACGTGTCACTAAGCTTTCCCAATACACCAAAAAGCTTGCCTCTTTGCCTTCTGGTAGTCTACTCTCACAGTCTAGTCCCTGAAAAGTTAAGTCTTTCTCTCATGATCATATTAAAACTGTAAGACTTTGCTAGTAGCAGTCTCTTTTCTGTTTGTTCTGTTTTAATAAGATTAAAATGAAAAAAGGGTGTTTTTTTGTTTTGTTTTGCTTTTGTTTTTCAGGTGTTTTTTTGTTGTTGTTTTGTTTTTGTTTTTCCTTTGGGAAGAGAAGGAACAGGGAGAGCCAATTAAAACTGCTTGCAGTGCTGTGTACTGGTGACTGCATGAAGGAAAGAAGCCTGAATGTGCGTCTTTAAGACTGGTATCAGCACAATGTTGATTTTGGCTAAGTGCAACAGAACAAAGGGAGGGGGGTGATAATAAGACCATGGATTCTAAGCTAGGCCAAAGAAAAAAATTAAGACAAGTGCTTAGCAGAATGAAGGCTCTGGAAGTTGGCTTCACAGTAAAAGAAGTGGGAATAAAGGATCAGTGGGGGTTACACAGCAAAACACTTAAATCCTACTGTAGTTAAGCTTCACAGTAAAATTAGTGGGAATAAAGGATCAGTGGGGGTTACACAGCAAAACACTTAAATCCTAAATCTGGGAGGTGATAAAGTTATTGATGAAAAATGGGAAATGGTATGTAGGACCACTGGAGACAAAGTGGGGGACTCAAGGGCTATGTGAGTGATCCATGTGGACACTGGTAGGGAGTTTAGCAACAGCAAGAAAAGTATAAAAGGAACCATCTAATGTATAAAATGAACAAACAGTGTGGGACAATAAGACACATGAAGTAATAACACCTATTGACATGAGGAATATGAGTGTGGGGCTACATATCGTCCTGAGGAATAATAATGACCCCTAGAAGCCATCATTTGAAGAACTCAACACATAATGGGATTAGTTCTGATGATCTCTTTGTGGAAAGGAAGTGGATAATCATCCTAATTATAGCGTGACATGGCTGCAGTGCTTGAGAGCCTGAACTAGCTCAGCCAACTCTGATAGGTCTTCTTATATAAAATGCAAATAAAAATGGGACTGACTTACTAGGGATATTGGGCATGTTCTATGAGTTAACACAACTAACACTGAGGTATATACTACATTCCTATAATACTATTATAGTATTAGTATATGAGTATTCATTGTGCTGTTTTTGAGAAATCTGCCGTGGCGGGTGATTAGATAAGCGTCAGCTGATATGCAGGAAGTTAGGTCCACCTTTAGTCCTGCTTCAGACAGAACCTAAGTGGTCTTGAATCATCAGCCTCCGGTGAACTCACAAAGTGCTCTATACTAACTGCCATATGTTAGACTCACCAAGTATGTGCCTCATGAAATACTTTTCAACCCTTATGATGCTCAGAAGTTGAGCCATGGTGCCCAATGAACAAAATGAATCTGGAAACCAATCTTAGGGAAAAATTCAAAATAAAACCAAAGAAAAAATAAACTGACACTAGCCAACAAAAAAATTTAATAAAACTTTGAATTATTTTTCTTCGCTCTAGAGCTAATTCATTTTAGAATTACCATCATGATCACCAACAACAGAATGTAAAGTATTTTTAAAGTATACCTTTATCAGTCAGTTTGTTGACAAATGGACACTCAATGTGGATAACTGGAAGTTAACCAAGAGACTACTGTAAAGCACGGGCTGGCTGTAAGGAAACCTCAAATTAGAGCAGTGTTCTCAACCTTCCTAATACTACAACCCTTTTAACAATTCCTCATATGGTGGTGACCCCCAACCATAAAATTATTACATTGCTACTTCATAACTGAAATCTGCTGTTATGAATTGTAATGTAAATATCTGTGTTTTCTAATGGTCTTAGGTGATCTGGGAAAGAATGATTCGACCCCTTCCCCTCCAAAAAGGTCATGACCCATAAGTTGAGAACCACTGAGTTAAAGCATAGCATTCCAGAACTCCACCAGCCACTGCAATAAAACATTCAACGAAGCCTCAAAACCCATAAAGGCTAATGAGAGCTGTGAGTGTCAAAGGATTCAACCATGCTGCAGAGATCCAGTAACCCAACAGCAGGACCCAGCCAGGCTTCCATTCGTTTGTACAGACAGGCTTGCTACCAACACTGAAGTAAAGGCCAGAGCTCCAAGAGCAGGGGTGACAGCTGTTGATACAGCAAAAAACCATGACAAAAAACATACACACATATGTCATGGCCAATCCCCAGTTACTTGTATAAAAGGAGAAGGTAGGAAACAGCTACAGGCTTTAGATGGAGATGTAGAAAGATACTTTTCTGATTGATTCCTAAGTTTAGAAAATAATTATCACATGGGAACATGATGTGCTTTGAGTAGAATTTAGTGTACAGCTTCATCAACATAATATATCAATTTTTAAAACACTGTTCTCAGGCAATAAATACAGACTACAAAGGCAAATGAGGCTCAAGAGAGAAAATGGTTTGCCTATAGTCACACGGTTCATAAATTAATAGTAATGAAATGAAAACTTGAAGATTTTTTCCTAGTCCCATTTAGTTACTATTTTTTTCAAATAGGTTCTAGTTATTAAAACACAGATAAAGTAGGCAGCCATGGACACACATGCCTGTAATCCCAGCACTCAAAATGCTGAGACAAGTGAACCATTGTGGTTTTTGAGACCAACCTGAGCTAGACAGGAACTGGAGTTAAGTCTGGGCTCTGTAGTGAGACTGTCTTAAAAACATCAAATAAAAACAGAAAGAGAGGCTAGGAACAAAAACCCACTCCAATCATACCTAGTGGTTATGTGTTGCTTCCATTTATTAGATATGCCAGTTCATTAAAATCAAGAATTTTTTACATACTCCAAATTCACCTTGCCACCTCCCCAAAAGATATTTCTTCAAAAATTTTGCTTTTTATGTAACAAGGATGAACCTTAAGAACAATAGCTAAAATAATCTGTTTAAGGAAGACAAGCATTATATGAGGGACCTAAAACAGAATGGTGGCTGCCAGGAGCTGAGGAGGGAAGCAAAAATGCGAACTCAAAGCAATCTGCTGAGTAACGCTGCCTGTGCTGGTTAGCAACAATGCATTGCACAGTTAACAATGTATCAGAGTATGTCTCATGTAAGTATACTTACGAAATTAAAGGCATAATCTTCAAGCTTAGTATTTGGAAACAAGTTTTGTTCGTCACAGTAACATTTACTTACACTCAATAACAGTTCCTTAAGGAGGTGATTAATAAATCAGTTTCAAAAATGAAGAATGGAAGGGCCTAGGCATAGCTTAGTTGTTAGAGTGTCTAGCATACATGAAACCCTGGATTCCATCCTTAGTAACACACAAAGGAAGGAAGGAAGGAAGGAAGGAAGGAAGGAAGGAGGGAGGGAGGGAGAGAGGGAGAGAGGGAGATAAATCAAACACACACAACAAAGAAAGAAGTGGACTTTATCTGAGGATTTACCTCAAAAGCTATTATTCTGTTCTCAATCTAACAGAAAGCTCAAACACTACCAAGCAATGAAGGATACTGTTTATATGCAGAGACTACATGCCTGCAGAACACCAGCAACAAGCCTCTCCTCAGTCCTTTGCTCACATGCCCTACCACATAGGAAGGATAATCTACTTCTAGAAAAAAATCGTGTGCACAATTGTTACGTTTTCTTTTCTACAGAATTATCTAGACCACCATTCACTGGTAGTCTACCACTAACTCTGAGAACCAAAAGTGAAATTCCTTTAATTAAAAAGCCAACATTTACATACAGTGTCACAAAGACGACTGTGAAAGAAACAGAAATTTGATGTATATGTTTCCCTGTGTATATGTGTGTGCATGCTGATGTGTGTGTTGGATTGCCTTCCTCAATCACTCTCTACCTTAGTTTTTGAGACAGTATCTCTCACTGAACCTGGAGTTCAATGATTAGTTACAATGGACAGCAAGCTCCTAGAACTCTTCTATCTGATTCCACAGTGCTATGCCAGGCTTTTTAAATGCAGGGTCAGAGGATCTGAGCAAAGGTCGTCCTCCCTCATGCTTGTGTTTTAACAAGCCCCTTTACCAGCAGAGCCATCTTCCCAACCTATCATCCGACAGAAACTTTATGGCAAGAAGGAAACATCACAAGACACTTTCATATTACAGCAGGATGGATCTAGCATGTAACCCAGAGGGGACACGTGTTAACAGTTCAGTCCCAAAGGTGGCACTACAGGAAAGTGCTGGAACCTCTAAGAAGAGACCTATGGAGCTTTTCAGTCATTACAGCAAGCCCTTAAAAACAACTGTGAGACCCCAGCCCCAGCACTCTTCTTTCCTGCCCTGGTAATGATCCATGCAATGTCACTCTAAGGCTCTTGATAAAATATGCTACCTCCTCAGACTCTGAACCAAAACAAACAATGGCATGGTAGCATATACCAGTCTCCGCATTCAAAGACTGGTATAGGAGGTCACAGCAATTTCTAGGCCAGCACAAGCTATAAAGATGCTGTCTCAAAAATAAAAAAAGAGAGCCAAGTGGTAGTGGTGCACACCTCTAATCCCAGCACTGGGGAGGCAGAGGCAAGAGGATCTCTGTGAGTTGGAGGCCAGCCTGGTCTACAAGGGAGTTCCAGGACAGTCAGAGCTCCACAGAAACTTTCTCAAAAACACAAACAGATAAATAGACAAACACATACAGACATAAATAAATACAAAAACAAATTTAAAAGTCAAAGTAAATATTCTTTACAGGGTACCTCAGGTAATTTTATAGTGACAAAAAGTTGATTAAGCTTCAGGATAAGGTGTATGGGAAAAGTGTGTGAAATAATTTGTTGGCCAAAAACACAGCAAATAAATACAGTGTCTTACTGTCGTGTGTATCCTTACCATCTGGCACTCCATGCCCTATAACTTATAAGAGATATATACTCCACTACATCTGCCCCCCTTCTGTGAGAGTCTAAACACACTTAATAGCAGAACAATTTATAAAGCCTGTCTATAGAAACTAAAGACATAATCTGTAAAACATCTGGCCTTGGCACAGATTTATAAATAACAGTATTAATTGCTTATTATAACTACCAGCAGCCCAATATACAGACGTACCTATGACTATAACTATTAGTCTTATAATTTTTCAAAATAGTGAAAAATTCTTGACCAAGTTCTGAATGATGGAATAATTTCCCTAGATTGATACATGTAATAAGTAAATGCATCAAGGGTTTTAATTGGTGGTTTTATGTTTTCATGTCTTTTGCCTTGAATCTTGGTAATCTTTCCCATTGGTTCTGGGTGAGAAGCATGGCTTTCTTTGGCAGTTACCATGTACACAACTGTAATACATGTAACACAGGATTAAATTATATGTGCACTTGGTTGTATACATGGTTCCCATTATATAAATGTCTGAATGACCATATAATACATGGCATGCAGACGAGTTCTATTCAATACATTATTACAAGTTATCCATCACCCATCCATGGTGTTTTCCCAGAATAAATCAACAATGTCTTCCAATAGTGACAACAATCAAACATGTCCCCCAACATACTGAAACTCTAGCATGGTGAACCAAAGGGAGAAGAAAAGACCTAAGAATGCTGCCAGAGCCCATGCTCTCTGCTCTCCTCACTCACACTCACTCATCTCCAGGCATAAATTCAAGATGCAGGACACTGCCATTTTAATCCTAAATATATGTATTTAAGAATGGCACCTTTTAAAAAAGATTTTTTTTGTGGGGAGGGGATAATCAGGAAAAGAGACAAGACAGACATAGGGTACAGTGCCCTTGGAGACCAGAAGAAGGCATCAGATCCCCTGGAGCTGCAGTTACAGGTAATTGTGAATTGCCTGTCTTGGACACTGGGAACTAAACTTAAGTCCCCATAAGAGCAGTATGTGCTCTTAACTGGTAAGCATGCTGTCCAGCTTTGTAGCTTCCTATATGGTACTCAAATCATCTACTAACTCAAAATACTTTATCACTGGCCAAACCAAGACACTTTAAAGTGTATTCTATTCTCTAAAACTGTATTTTAGAATATTTCACAATTGTGAATTCACTTTCCAACACTTTAGAAACTAAAGTACATGTGTATCATAGCAGGCAAATAATTCTATTCCATTTTGGTTAGACAGTGGTTTCATGCAGCCTAGGCTGGCCCAGTACTTGCTATGTAGCCAATGATACCCTGAGTTTCTGATCCTCTTCCCTCTGTCTCTGAGTGCAACACAATGCTTGGCTGATTAGGCAAATAATTTTAAGTAGTAACCATTCTGAAGCATTGGAAAGAAAGAATACTCTTGCACACATTTTCTAAGAATGAACGAAGAGGTGACTAAAACTAATACAATCTTAACATTCAGCATCTTTTGTGTCTTTAAGATTATCACAGACATGCAACTAGCATAGTATGCCTGACATCTTATTTTTTTTTCCCCCAGAAAGCAGGCTTTTCCTGTGAAGTAATGTTTTTTATCAATCGAGCTGAGCTGACCCACTCAACCTTACCATGATTAAAAAAAAAAAAAAAAACATTCCCTCCAGGAACACTGGTATACACTTTTGATCCCAGAGGCTTTGGAAGGTGGATTTGAGATCAAAGCCAGCCTGGTTTACTTAGTGAGTTCCAGGACAGCCAGAACTATATAGCAAGAACATGTCTTAAAACTTCCCCTCGGCGGGCGTTGGTGGCACACACCTTTAATCCCAGCACTCGGGAGGCAAAGGCAGAGGATCTCTGTAAGTTCGAGGCCAGCCTGGTCTCCAGAGCGAGTGCCAGGATAGGCTCCAAAGCTACACAGAGAAACCCTATCTCGAAGAAGAAAAAAAAAAAAAAAAAAAAAAAAGAAACAATCCATGCTCTTTATTAATTTTACCAATTTTTACAACAATAGATCACTACTTTTATTAGTAACAAAACTCAAATCTAAAAATCAATAAGCAAACAGCATGGGATTACTGGGAGCCCATCAGAGGTCACAGGAATCAGTTCCCCCATGACACATGCAGACCTCCTGAACCAGGGACCCTCTCCCTGCTGAGCACCTGCCAAGCACTAGACATCACATACATCTAATTAAAATGTTAGTTTAAAAGGATGGAAACGGCCTTGAAGGCCTCATTGAATAACACTGTAACAAGTTTAGTGCAGTATTACAGAGCTACCCCCAAGATACTGACATCCACCAAAACTGCCTTCTACTGCCAACATTGCTGTTCCAAGTCCCGATGTTTTACTTCCAAGTAAAGTTTTAAGTACCTAGGTTTACAGTAAAACACTTAGGCATTAACTCCAAATGTATTATCAAATAAGAACTTTCTGAAGTATCTAAATACAGAATACAAAAATAACCTTTTGAGACAAGGAAACATCATTTTCAGCAACTTACTAAAACATATTAAAATGACTGCAACAAAGTTGAAAATTGCAAAATACTTACTTCATTTCCATGTTTTTGCAGGAATTCAATTTCCTGTTGTGTAAATGTTGTCATGGAGATAGATTTCACCCTGTGAGGTGGATTTAATCCTCTCCTAAAAGATAATAAAGTGAACTTGATCAAAATCCACAGTACTAGCATTCAAACTGCCACAGTATTCCTTTGTATACATTTAGTGTCATTTTCACTGAGAAACTATACATATTGTGGGTGGGTGCACACCCTAGTCACCAAAGAGCAGCCCACGTGGCGGTCAGAGGACAATCTGCGGCAGTCAGCTCTGCCCTTCCACCATTTTAGTCCAGGTCCTCAGAATTGAACTCAGGCCATCAGGCTTGGCAGCAAGTATCACACTGCTCTACAGCTGGCCCAAACAAACGTTGGTGGCGCACGCCTTTAATCCCAGCACTCGGGAGGCAGAGGCAGGCAGATCTCTGTGAGTTCGAGGCCAGCGTGGTCTCCAGAGCGAGTGCCAGGATAGGCTCCAAAGCTATACAGAGAAACCCTGTCTTGAAAAAAAACAAAACAAAAAAAACAACAAAAAAAAGTGTTTACAAAGAATATAGAAAAATAAAAGCTTTTCTGGAATAAGGAGAGGCAAAGCAGCACAGTGAGAGGAAGTAGGCATTGGGGAGGGGATTTTTTAAGGTTAAAAATGTACCCTGGTGATCTGACTCAGCAGGGTAAGACACTGGTGACCAGAGATCAACCCCTAGAACTCACACCGTGAGAACAGCTGACTCCCCCTAGTCACACATGTGACCTCTGACCTCCCCAGGTGCTGTAGCACACCCACACCTACACAAACACATAATAAATGTTTAAAAAATTAAATAAAAAAAACAGTATCAGCAACAAATAACCAAGAATGAACTATATTATGCAAAGCAACTGGCCAGAAAAGTTCATAATATAAAAGAAAATAATTACAAAGCACACAGGCACTTAGTATATTTACTCTCGTTTGGATTCTAACAGGATGACAGACAAAATACTCTTAGTTTTGTTGCTTAATTTTATTTGTAATAATGTGTGTATGTGTTTCATAATCTTCCAGGAGGGGGAACAGGTGAGGAGGGAGATGGGACACCTGTCAAATCTTAGCTTTCTGAAATGAAAACTTGCAAATGTCAAAGTTAAGTTTTCAGCAAACCAGTTTAAAAGCAGATTAAACATACCAGAACAAAGGCCTGGGCATGGTGGCACATGCCTTTAATCCTAGCAAAGGCAGAGGCAGGTGGATTTCTAAGTTTGAGACCAGCCTGGTCCACACAGCAAGTTCCAGGACAGCCAAGACTACATAATGAGATACTGTCTCAAAAACAAACAAACAAAAACAAAATAAACATATCTGAACAGATTATTAATGTACTAGAAGACACAAAGGGAAAAGAGGATAAATGAACCAGAAGGTAAGGTAACATAAAGGCAAAAAAGAGAAAAAGGAGGATATAATTATGAAAGCTAACAGACAGCTACAGAGCTAAGGAAGGAAGAAGATACATCTGAAGGGATAATGGCTAAGATTTTTCAGATCCAATAAATGAGTTTAACAAAATGGTGGAAAATAAAAATCTACAGTTAGAAACATTCTGTCAAAATTTCACACACTAAATTATAACCACTTTTCATTGGGAATGAGAATATTGTCTTCAGATGGTAAAGAAAGTAACTGCTGTGATTAGAAAAGCCATTACTGAGGAACAAGATAAAAATGGCAGTAGTTTCAGATTTAAAAAAAAAAGTTTTTACCCAAGAGACTTTTTACTAAAGAAACTTACATCATATCATATACACATTAAGAAAACAAAAGTATAGGCTGGGTGGTAGTGGCACAAGCCTTTAATACCAGCACTTGGTGGCCAGAGGCAGGCAAGTCTCTGTGAGTTCAAGGCCAGTCTGGTCTACAAATGGGAGTTCCAAGACAGCCAGAGTAACACACAGAGAAACGCTGTCTGGAAAGACAAAAAAAAAAAAAAAAAAAAAAAAAACTCTAAAAA